TTGAATGGCAAATCTGGCTCTTGCACTTCAAACTCTTTGCTGCCTCGTTAAAGATGTAATCGAGTTAATGAACTAATTAACGATTAAATCTTATAATAAACGTGATCATCCGTTTACAGAAATAAATAAGATAAAAACTCTAGAAAATTAAATATTTTATTATTTAAATTCGATTATTCTCTTAATTCTTCAACGAAAGATCAATCCCGAAACATCGAATCGCTTCGACGATTTAAACTTAAAAATTATAAATAAAATATTGATGAGTAAAGCAATTTTTAACTTTAATAAATATTATATTAAGAAATTGCCTTAAATAAATATTAATATTTAATTTTTAATACTTTCTATAAAAATACCCACTCCAATTTATCACCCATTAAAATACATTTGAGTAATTTTATTCTTTAAAAAAACGTATTCAATTTTAATATTTACCGGAAAATAAAGTTTTAAATCCGTTAATTAATTTATTTATATTAATTAATTAGTTAATAAAAATAATCCAAAATTTCACTATTTATTACGACAAGTGATGATTAAAATTAAGTTTAAATAATGATTTTTTTTATTGTTTAAGCACCGATTTTAAAAAAGTAAACCAATAAAATTATTCTAAACTTTAATTATATATAATATAAAATCCGATTAATTTAAAATTATTATAAAAATATAAATATTTCTTCCAAAAAATAATCATTTAAATTGTTAAAAATGACCAGAAGAAGTGATAAAAATGAATAAAATCATTCATATTACATATAAATTTATTGTAAATCTAAAAATGAAAAATTGACAGGGAAAATATAATTATATTGTGTAGAAGAAGGAAGTTAAGATTATTAATTTGCAAGGTTTAACAAAGAAGAATAAAATAAAGATTGGCTTCATCTCACACTCGCATCAAAGCATTAAAACGTGAATAAAGTAATTAATTTTTGCAGGAAAAAGCGGCCAAATTTTAGAGTCGAACGGTTCCACTTGAATATGTAAATATATGGATGGGGATTTTATTATCCGACGAACAGTTTTATTATCTTTAAACAGCTTATCGGCCGATATCCCGAACGTTATCGACTAGATCGATACTTTGCAAGTTTCGGCAACGTTAACTGATTGGCACTGTTTAAGTTGGCAAACGGGATTAACAACGGGCCATTTTCGTCAATCGGACGGGCCAACGGCTCTTAATCAAAATCTAACTATATAACAATACGGTGGAAAAAAGATGGACGGTAAATCACGACGTTAGATCGTTAATGACACTCCTTAAAACTCCTATAAATGTTAACACTCTCTACTGTTAGCGGCACAGATCTTCATTTACATAACGGTGACTTTATACCTCTAGTTTCATCTCTGGCTGCTAGTCTCTCTGTGCTGGGTGGGACTTGAAGCGTGGATAACGAGCTCGAAAGATAATGCATAGCGAGTAAATCATGCAGGCGGTGTGTGAAACCTAAGTCACACCAGGTAATGTTGCCTGCCACACCATTTCCGTGTCTGCGTCTCATCATAAAATCTACTCCGACCCCATCCCCATTGGTCGAACATTCTCAAAACTCTTCTTCCGCCTTTTTCACCATTGGCCATTTTTCCTCGTGGCCACCTTACTTACCGGAAATTACGTACGACCAGTCGCTCGGTGGTTGCCCGCTCGTGACGTCACTCTCGAGCCAATCTGTCGCGTCACATTAGCATGCGAGGAAGAACGATCGCTCGGGACGTGGTGTCACTTTGGGGTCAAAGGTCGCGTGTCTCGGTAATAGGAGTCAATGTGGCGCACAAATAAGGGCTCTCGGCATAAAATGCGTTCGATATTTTCAATATGCCGTCGCCGGGGACGATTAAATGCACCCCGTCGGCAAAAATTAAAATACGTCGCTTAAAGCATTGTAATGGAGTGAGCTAAATCGAGAAACAATAAAGGGCGAACAAACGAATATTTATTATTTTTCCAAGCCCGACCACAGCTAACGAATGTTTCGATTTAGTAAATAATCTATTTAGAAATGACGTCATGCGGATTATCCTTAGATAGGCTGGAGGTGCGTCGAGTCAGCACAACCCATTTAGATAGAGTTGTGTTGGACAAACACTATTATACATACATTAGTATCGGCCACGTTTGTCAACTGCATCAATAGAAAGTGGTGGAGCTCGCCATTCGGTCTAACGCTAGTAATAAACTTAATGGATTCCACACGGACACACTATTACTGCGAAGGAGTTAGGCCGTCTGAGATATAGAGTGGCCACTGTCCCATTCATTACAATGTCATTGCTTAATGGCCAGTCTGGTAGAAAGACAAACGGACCGTGCGACATAATTAAAATTCGTCAAAAATTCCTATCGGCCCGTCTTCCAATATGTCACCATTCCGCCCTCTGTCGTTACAAATCTTAACTAACGCATAACGCGTTTTAATATCGTTTCTTTTTTTTTAATAATTCGCTAGCGCAATTTTTTCTCTCTTATAAAAAGATTTGTTTTTTAATTAAATAATTCGAGTAAGACGTTGCCGGCTTTATTTTTATTTATGGATTATTTTAATTAGTTACGCTCGGACGGTGCCAACAAAAGCGTCGCGGAATATTGTAAAAACGTTTTATGTAATTAGAACGGTTGAAAAATAGCTTTTCGGACAAGAAAACAGGCAGAAAAGATCTTAAAGAGGGTTTTATTCTGGATAAAAAGCGTCACGCCATCATCATTTCGGACCGTTTGGGAGAATCTATACCGCATTGTTACCTGAATATTGTACACTCTCTACAATTAACTTTTAAAGAGTCGTATTTGTAGTGGAATCTATTCCATCCATTGAGCCTCGACAAATCAAGTGTAGCCAAGAAGAGAAGATAGAAAGTCTTCAATCAATATTGGTGTCACCCGCTACCAAGTAGCCGGAGCCATTTCAGGGGATTAAAACTGTTTCGCCCCTCATCTCTTGCCCTCTTCTGTTATCCACCCAACCTACTGTAGATAGGGAACAATCCAAATGCAATAGATGTGATGGGAAAACAGGGTACACTCTCAACATTGGTCCTTTTTTTTTCCTTTTTTTTTTTTACTTTCCTCTTTCTGAATTCTGTGCTGGTACAATAGCAGCTAGTCTGCCTCACCAATAATATCTTCTCCACTTTCCTGATTTTCTAGCTGACGACTGCCTTTCTACGAATGGGCGCTACAATCGATGCTTTCGACCTCTTTAGGACATTAAATATCAGCTCCACCGGCTGATAAGTTTTTCAACACAGTACTTATGGAATCCACTCTACATCTTGTTGGCTTACTAAATCCATTGGCTGGCGATTGGCTCTGTCTGGAATATATTTCTTTAAACAATGGACATAAGGCTGGAAGGGTTCCAACTAACATTACTCGTGTACGTTTTGCCAACATTAACGGATAAACTACTAAATTGACGTTTCGAGCATCGTTAAGACCTAACCGACTTGATTTATAATCATTGATTAATGGAGCGTTTTTTCTTTTTACTTTTTGTCTGCTCGATTTATATTAACCGTTAACAAATGATAAAAATAGGACAAGATATAAAATGCGAGTTAATAACGATTTTAATTTAAACGACCTACTTGGCTCCACAATCTTCTGCAGAGGTTATTCCTCAGATTTACCTCTATCGCTTCCATCTGCACGGGAGGATAAGAAAGTTTTCCAAATGGAAAGAAGAGATAAAAAAAAAAAAAGATGTGAAAGACACAAGACGAAGAAAAAATTAAACAAACGTCTTTGGTATCGAATCGCCTACGGATTAGAACAAGAGGACCCGTTGTCAGGATTACAACGAAGATCCCAGAGGTGAGGATATAAAGCTGCCGGGTGTCCTAACCCAAGGGACTTGACACGGGTCAGATAAAACAGGCGTGAAATACTAATCCCCATCGACTTCGTTACAGATAAAGCCACTTCTAAGTGTCGGACAAGTATTCCTGTAGGTAATTGATCTGCTCCCAAGGCTCTGCTCTCCTATCCATTGTCAACGTCCGAGAGAACGTGGTCTTCTCATTATGGTCATAAAATAATGGGCAGTGGCGTGACTCTAGTTGTTATCTAGCTTCCACCTCTGACAATGGCCGCTTAGATAAGCTTAATGAAAGAACATTGCGTGGCTGTGACTGACTGGGGGTGACGATGTTTGTTGGAGTATGGTGGTAGTAATCCCGTCACGTTAGCAAACTGCTGACTGAGGGGGTGAGAAATACTCTATTCAGTCTTTGCCATCACGTTCGGCATTATCGGAATGGAAGAGCTTTTCTCCGGTTATGTCTGCAATTTTGTCTGAAGTATAAACTCTTATGAAATAAGTCCGAACTCGTTCCGGCCGTTAATCACTCCCAGATTTATGTGAAGGGCATAGAACATCATTCGCCGTGACGTTAAAGCAGCAATTGTGTGGAGTGTAAACAGGACGGTGCCCCGGTTAGGCCAGTAGTATAGAACGATAGCGGACGGTGACAATGCCAACTACATCACCCTAACACAATTACCACTGAGGTAATGTGAGTTATGACTGCAGTAATTTCTGTACAGTAGGTTACATTGGATCTGATTTCGGAGATTGTCTAAACTTGTCCACCTGACACTATACCGAGAAGGATTAGATGCTATATCTCTCGTAACTCGACCCTTTATTAGCGAATACCTAGTCTTTACATCAATGAGAAATGCGCACAGACTAGTCCTACAAACGATTCATTAAATTACCTGTTTGATAAAAAAGTAAAAGAAAAATATATATTTGTTTTATGTATCACACATTAGTTTAATATACCTGATAGTGATTTCTCGTTTGTTGATGAGGAAAAAAGTCATTGATAAGCCCACAGGACTAATTTCGATACTTTCGCCTACGGGACATTAATTTTCTGGCTATTTAACTTATCCATGTGACATGTTGATACAAATCACGTCACGAAAAGTAAATTAAAGCAACTGCACTGTTGCGTGACTAGCGTGATTACTGTTGACTACTAACCTTACGATCGTCGAGACACTGGATTTAATTTTGACTTCTCTGACACCCCAACTTTATCTTGTATTATGATCCTCTTGTCTCTACCAAACACGGAATTTGTTACATTTCACACTGCTCTGTCATTTATCACATGCAATTTTTATTATCTCTACAAATATAGGTTTATTTAAGATAATTTTAAAATAATTTAATAGCCAATTCATCAAATACCGTAAAATTATAATAGATAAAATATTGTATAAGATTATAAATAAAGCTGACATTATATTTAATCAATCAATGATTAATAACTAATTTAATTGTTTAGTTTTAAAGGCTAAAATGTTGAATCGAAGTTCTATAAATACATTTTTATAAATATACTGTATAATTTTTATGTAGCATCTATAACTTTACACGTAATACTACGATCTTATAGCTTTGTACACATATGTATGTACGAAACAATAATTTTGCAAGCTGTTAATCGCATACACTAAATGTATGCATACAAAAGTGTTTATCGTACAAAATCTGTAAACTTAATCTGAAATTTCTTGTTCACACAGTAAAGTACTGTATAGGAGCATTATCTAATTAATTTATAGTGTAGAAAAATCGCAAATATGTACAATAGTCAATTAAAATATATAAAAAAAAATTAATTAATATTCTTAAGAATTTTTTTAATATTGCAAAAATATTAAATTAATATTTAGCGAATATATTTTAAAACTATAAATCTGTAACATGTTATATATCGACATAGAAAAAATGTATTTATTAAAATGATAGCTATTTATTTAAAACAAGTACACTGTATTAAAAAAATCCCCTTTAAAATACTTTTTTAATGAGCAAAATTCACCTTTAAAATAAATAAAAAATAAAAAAGTAGCGACAGGATTAAAACAGTTAATCAGGAAATTTAAAAATTTTAAAAAGTAGCAAGGGTGATTTAATAAGCTCAGATCAAAGGAAAATACCGTGGAGTTGACCATGTTTAGAAAAACCGAATTTAACCATAATGACAGAAAGGAAGACGTGAGTTGGTCTATCTAAGAAAGAACCAAAGAAAAACAGTTACTCGGAACGAAACAAAGGAAAAAAAAAGTAGCGGTATAAAAAGAAGACATCGCCACTTGAACATGGCACCATTGCTTTAAGAAGTCTCTGCATACTGGCAGATTGATAAATATTTTATATTTCAATTTAAAGTACGGAGAAACAAACTCGGTAATATCCGGTCACGTGGTTGACTGGAAGAATCGAACATTTTCTTGTCTTCTTTGGTGTTAGTAATTGTTTCTAGTGTTCGGAAAAAAAATAACAAGACTAATTCGACGAGATACGGCTCTTATAGAAGCTAATTCGGAAATTAAAAAAATGCGATAATAATAATTAATTAAGGTTAAATTTTTTTTTTCTAAATTATAAAAGCTCATTAATACTTTAATCATTGTTTGGAATGACAACAGTCGGCGAGAGAACGAAAACAATTTTTTGATTATTAACGTAGTTCGGATAATAGTAGAAGGGGGGAGTAAAGCGGAATATAAAAAGCGGAGAAGTAGATAGATAAATTATTAGTTACGCCTTCGCAAATGCGACAATTCCATTCGGAAAAGTCTCTCTTCCAATGGGGTTAGGAACGGAATACGTCATCAGTGACGTTAGCATTCCGACTGTCGTCTTCGTCCCCCTTCAGACAAGTTGTATAACTTGTCCACAAGGCATTCGATTCTTCGACATTCGGAGAAGACTATCCAAAGATAAAATGTCTTGGGCGAGACACGACATGCTTACACAATGACATATATCTGGTCCCGGTTGCAATCAACGAAGCATATCCGATCAGCAATGTTGTCAGGTTTCCTTCTTGCATCTTCAATGATTGGAATTCATACCATGCTTCGCAATGATCATCCGTACTAGATTGGGTAATCAAAGTGTTTCCAGTTCGTAGCACCATAAGAAACTTGGGTGCGTTTAAGGTCGGTAAATTAGATTTTAAAATGAACTGTGTGTGTTTGATTCTCTACTTATTTGAAGTCAGCCATGCGTGCTGAGCAGTGAAGGCCAAAAAAGGGGCAAGAGGTTCGCCCCGAAGGGACTAACGGGCCATTTCTATGAAAGATTATATAATATATACCCTCCGCCTCTTATCTACCGGATATAAACCCACCTGTATAAATTAATTACCGGAAAAATTTCGAAAAATAAATGAGTAAAAATATAAAAAAAAAGCCTTCCCGACTGCGTGACTTTTCTCTCAATTAGATTTGGATTTTCCTTTGATGAAGTTAACCTTGCTTCTCCCTGTTTGTTTTCCCTACGCTCGAGGCGCCGTGACGGTCGATAGACGAACTAGCCTATCGCTTAAAACGGAAAAAAAGGGGAGAAAGTAAAATTTGCGATCGAATCTAATGGATTGATAATAAAAGAAATATCTAATATCGCTTTTTAAATAAGTAAACCTTTAAAAGAAACTTTGGATTTTATTAAATTTGCCAATCGTTTGATAATTTATGAAGTTGTGTATTTCTGCTAGTAGAGGACAGCAGCAACAAGTATTGGATTATTGAGATAATTCGCGAGTTTGTTTCTGTAATTTAATATTTTTTTTCCCTATTGACTTCAAAACGTCGTTTTATATAATTCTGATTAAAAATACTTCAATTAAATTACTAACAAATCGAATAGGAAAAGAATTCGTTTAAGCTTCCAATTTTTGAACTGAAATTAATTCAGTATTTATTTATTGCTTTTTTTTTATTAAAAAAATTCTTTTTACACATTTTTTTCTATCGTTTCCCGTTAAAAGTTTTGCACGGTTTATGAGGAAAAAAAGTGTAAATCACTTAATTTGAATGCTGCTTTTAATGGATTTTTACTTTTCAAACGCATTTTCCTTTGTAATCTAATAATTATCACTCATTAAACAAAAATTTTAAACTAATTATTACACTTTTTATCCTCTTAACGTATACATGAGTATTAAAAACTTTAAAGTTAAAAGTAATTAATAAAAAAAAATTATATATTTCTATTTAAAAATATATATATA